ATTCCTGCTTCTGACCTAAGAAGAAAGCAGAAAACTACCAGCACAGAGGAGGACGGTCATGCAGCCCTTCCTCCAGACAGCAGCCAGGCCGTTCGGAAGACACAGCACCGAGGGAAGGGAGCTGGGTCTCCGCAGGGCGCAGGAGATGCGTGTGGAGCGTGGCGGGTGCTGGGAGGGGCTGTGGGACACGGGGATGGGGGCGCCGGGGAGGCCAGCAGGGCTGCCACACTCAGCCCGGCTCGTGACAGGGCCGGCTCCACTGCGGCGGCCCCTCTGCCAGTGCCCTGCCAGCTTCCGCCCCTCCTGTCCCTTCACCGGCCTGGTCCGCACACGGCCTTGGTGTCAGCGTCTGCTCCCCAGGGCGTGATTCGTGTGGGTGCCCCACCCACATCCCATCCTTCCTCATGCCTGCAGTCGGGCAGACACGCCTTTCAGACACTACAGGGACCCCCGGCCCAAAGGGTCCAGGTTTCCGGTACCCAGAGGTCACCCTCACGCCCTCTCTGTGGGGCTGGGAGCCCAGAGCGTGTCACCACTGGTCCACCTGCTCCGGTTGCCATAACAGACGCCACGGACGGGGCGGCTTAAACAGCAGCAGGGCACTTCTCAGAGTCTGGAGGCCGGAGTCCAGGGCCAAGGCGCCGGCACGGCCGGGTCTGGGGGTGCTCGTTCTGACTTGCTGCCCTCCTCCTGCTCTAAGGACACTAATCCCTCGTGACCTCATCTCACCCTCATCACCTCCCAGAGGCCCCACCTCCAGACACCATCGCGTTGGGGGTTAGGGCTGCGATGTATGGACCTGGGGACATTCCGCCCACAGCAATGAAGACTTGGTGCAAATCTTGGACATTTAGTGAATCCTGGTTCTAACACAGAGGCACCAGCGGTTTACTTTCAGTTTCTGTCTAATCTTTACTATTCGATCGGGGTGAAAGAATTCTTATTAGATTGCGTTAAATAAAATTATAACCTATTTTAGCCCTAGGGAAATCACACAAACTTAGTTTTTGAATTCGTGATGAAACAGGAAGTTGTCCTCCGGGGATAATTCAGCTCTCCTGTGGGGCTGGAGAGAGCCCAGTGGGGTGCCCCTGTGGCTCAGGACGCGGGCGCCTCGCTCAGGGAGGCCTCGTCACGGGTGTTTCTTCACCGTGCCACAGCAACGAAAGTCGAGGCAATCAGCACACTGGTCATCAGACTGCAGTCATTAAAGCTCAGTGAAGAGCCCATGTGTCTCCTGCAGTGTTGGGGAACCATGGCCCTTGGGCCAAGCCCAGACCCCCACCTGGTCTTGTAAATAAAGTCTTATCGGCACATTTGCCTGCGTGTCTTCTGTGGCTGTTTTGTGCTGTGACAGCAGAGCTGTGACACAGGCCACATGGCCACAACCTAACATTTGAGTCCCTGGCCCTTCCAGAGAGGCCAGTGGCCCCGGTGCACAGGAAGGGCCTGGTCAGCGCTGAGGAACAAACGCAGGAACAGGACTGGCCTGGGGGCAAGAGGATGCTGTGCCGGGTGTGGGTGCACCTGAGCAGCCACTCATAGAAGCGCGGGGGCGACACAGCAGCCCCTCCGTCTGGGGGTGAGCCGGTGAGCTAACTCCCAACAGATCTCCTGCCGGGAGGGCCTCCTGGCTCTGGAGCTGGGGAGGGTGCGCCTGCAGGCTGTGAGTCCTCGCCTGCAGGGGTGCCACTCCAGGCGTCCTGTGCAGCCCTGAAACAAGGCAGGGCCGTTCTCGCTCCTACAGAGGGCCGGGGAGGCTCTTCCACCAGGAAGTCAGTGCGTTTGAAGGGAGGGCTGAGGGTGCTGAGGCCCGAGAAAGCCGCCCACACGGCTGAGACCCCACCTCCGTTGCCCCCAGGAAGGTGGGGCTCCCTGAGGCTGCCTCCCAGATGCGGGCCCTCATCCCCCTCTGCTCGGTTGGTTACAGGCAGAAAGGAGGGCCTGGTCCGGACAAAGGCTGAGCCCAGAGGCTGGAATCGACCAGAAGGGCAACATGCCGGCGGGCACAGGCTCACAGGCCTCTGAGGATCGGGTTCGTCGTGAATGTTCATGAAGTCTTCCTGGGCCCCGCTGGGTGCCAGCCTGCCGGACCCCATCACACCCGACACATCCACAGTGGGCTGGATGCCAGCTCGCCTGCCCTGGGGGCACCCTCCACACATTTTTCTATCCCAGCTGTTGGCATCTTAAAGCTGTAATCTCGGGAAGTGCCGATAGCCAGTTACAAGCTGCAGAAAAGGGCTTTTTTTTTTTTTTTTTTTTTTTTGGGG